GAGCGCCTGTCAGGTCGCGTCAGCGCCCCGCTCCGGACCCTCCGTGCCCCTCAGCGTTCCTGGGACAAAGCCGGGAGCCCTGGGGAGCCCACCTCGCAGTCTTCTCCATTCGCCCTCTTGCGCGTTCTGCGGGAGCCCCGCCGGCTTCTTTCTGATAGAATCCACCCAGTTCTTGCTCAAGGCCTTTGCTCTTGCATTTTTCTCTTCCTGAGACACTCTTCCCCACTGGGTCTTGAAATATCCAGCTTTTCCTCTTTCGGGTCTCAGCTTCAATGTCACCTCCTCCTAGAGGCCTTCCCTGATCTCCTTACTCTGATTATTTCCTTGCCAGCATGGATCACAACCTGATTTTTCCTTCTCTTATTGAACTTGTTGTCTGTCTTCTTACCAGGGTGAAAGGTCCATGAGGAGAGGGACCATATTTACTTAATTCACTTGCTGAATCCCGGTTTCTGGGACAGTGGCTGGCACACAATAGGAGCTCAATAAATGCTTGTCAGATAAATGAATGGAAGTATGGGGTACCTGGGAATAGGAAGGGAAAATAGAACCAAACAAGCAGGAAGGGAGACTGGGGAGTATCAGAGAAGGCTTCCTAGAGAAAGGGACTTTGAAGCTGGGTGCTAAAGGATGTGTAGGAGTTCATGAGGAAGACGGAGGAAGCAGCATGTATAAAGGATCGCCTCCTGTCTCACCCACTCACCCCCAGCTCCTGAGAAATAAAACCTGTGTTATCTTGCTTCCACTGTGTTGAATTTTAGCCGAGGAGACGGCCCTGAGACTCAGCCGAGCAGTGGCAGGCGGGGATGAACAGGTCGCTATGGAATGTGCCATCTGGCTGGCAGAGCAACGGATACCCCTAAATGTGCAATTGAAGCCTGAGGTCTCCCCATCACAGGACATCAGGTGAGGAGTGCATGGCTGGCCAGGAACATAGGGCTTACTGAGCCCTAGTGGGCCATAATATATTCTTGCCAATACAACAGGTTTTTTTCCCACAGAATTTATTTTATACCTATTTTACCAAACAGCATTTTAAACACATAGAAAACTCCCTTGGAAGATAAAGCAAAGACAAAAGCGTTTATCTTATGAGAAACGAGATACACCACCCATCACTTGTAGTCCTCAAATATTATTGCATTTTAACATTCATAATCTGACAATGCATTCGTGAAACAACCTGCAGACAACTAGTTTTAGCAAATTAAGAACACTTTTTAGCAGACATGACTGTCCTAAATTGTTTATTAGGTGAAAGTTTTTCACATGTTACTTATAATAGCAGTAACTGGAGCTGGAGAGTATTGTGCCTTCTCCAAGCTGCACGGCGAGAACCACCAGTAGTAGTGTGGTGGAACCTGTGGCCCTTTCCAAGGCCGCGGCTCTTGTGGCCTGTAGATGTCAGCCCTCGCATCTCCCTGTGCTTGTAGACTGGTTTGGGGATCCATTGAGTGTCAGGATTCCTTCTGATAGCCTTATGGAATGGATCAACGAGGATAATCTCACAGAGTTTGTATGTGGAATCTTCACCAACCCAGTAAGAATTCAGGACTCTCAGAACCCCACTAGAATAGTTATTATTATTTTTTTTATAAAGTAGAACTTTCTCTTCTGTCTTTATTGATTTCAGAGAGAGGAAGGGAGGAGAGAGAGAGACTGAAACATCAATGATGAGAGAGTCATTGATTAGCTGCCTCCTGCACGCCCCCCCACTGGGCATCGAGCCCGAAACCCAGGTATGTGCCCTGACTGGGAACTGAACCATGATCTCCTGGATCCTAGGTCGATGCTCAACCACTGAGCCTCCCAGGCCAGGCTAGAACAGTTATTCTTAATGGCAGGTTCTGGTGTCAGGAGACCTAGCTCAGACCCCAGCTCTGTCACTAATCAACGGTGAGATCTGGGGCAGATCATTTCACCTCTCAGAGTTTGTTTTTTTCATTTTAAAAATAGAGTAATAATAGCAGCTATCTCATGGGGTTGTTAGGGGGTGTATTAGCATGTTAGGCCTCATATAACTAGAAAAAGCATAAGAACAGTGCCATAACCAAGTTGGATGGCAGGCAGTCCAGATGTGGAGGCCCTGCTCCCGTAGTCCTGAGTCTCATGCTTCCTGTCTTCTTGTTCTGCCATTCATGGCCTCCGTTCTGAGGTTCCCATCATGTCCCGGAATGGTTACTCCAGCTTCAGTCATCACGTCAGCATTCTTTCTTTTTAACTGAATTTATTGGGGTGACATTGGTTAATCACATCAGCATACTTATGCACAGGAAGGAGGAAGGGGAGAAAGGCAGCCCCTCCACACTCCTTTGAAGAGCATAGCTCAGAAAGTTATACACACTTCTCCCACTTAGTTCCTGTGGACCAGAACTTATTCTTGCAGCAGTACTCAGCTTGAAGGAAGGTTGTGAAATAGAGCCAGGTAGCCAAAAAGAATTCCAGGCTGCTTTTAGCAAGAGAAGCGAGAGAGTCTGTGCCCCAGGAGTCCTAAACTTGGTGTGAAACACAGCACAGTGCCTGGTACACGTTAATCACTCAATATTAACACTGGTGTTTATCTTTTTTCTGCTTTTTCCTAGTGCATTCCATTTGATTTTTTTTTACAGTACTATTGAGATGTGATTGGCATACAATTAAACAATTCAAAGTGTATAGTTTAAGGCTTTTAGTATGTTTAGAGTTGTGCAAACCATCGCCACAGTTAGTTACAGGATAGTCTCATCACCCCGTAAGGGAAGCCCGTACTTGCTAGCAGTCACTCCTTGTCTCCCTACCTTTCCTTGACTCCCCAGCCTTAGGCAGCCGGTAATCTACTTTCTCTCCCTCAGGATTTGCCTATTCTGGAAATTTCATATAAATGGAATCATGCAATATATGGCCTTTTGTGTTTGGTTTCTTTCACTTAGCATCATGTTTTCTAGATTTATCATGTTGTAACGTGTATCAGAACTTCATTCCTTCGTTACTGAATAATAGCCAGTTGTGTGGATATATTGTGTTTTCTTTATCTGTCAGTCAGTTGGATATTTAGGGTTCCACTCTTTGGCTAATGTGAATAATGCCTCTTTGAACAATCGTGTTGAAGTTTTTATATAGGCACATAGACCTCTGACTTACAGCCAGCTGGTCAGAAGTACACATAACAGTCTGGACTTGCAACTGGCGTCTGAAATCCAAGGAGGGGCTGGTTGGAACCCCCAATTTACATCATGAACTGAGCCCTTAACCTGTGGGAGCTGACGCTATCTCCAGGTAGATAGTGCCAGGATTGAGTTGAATTGTAGGGTGCCCTGGTGGTATCTGAGAATTGCTTGGTGTTCTGTGGGAAGCTCCCCGCCCCTTCTCCACACGTTGGAAGTTGTCTCTCAGAACCATTTTAGGTATAAGACATGATTTTATATATATATGTTGGCCATAAGAAGTTAACATCCATTGCCCCACATAGTTAAAGTGATTTTTTCTTGTGATGACAACTTTTAAGATTTACTCTTTTTAAATTTAACTTATTTATATTTTTATTGCTTTTTTAGAGAGAGAGGAAGGGAGAGAGAGAGAAACATGGATGTAAGAGCAGAACATCAATTGGCTGCCGCCTGCATGCCCCCTATTGGGGATTGACTCCACAACCTGGGCATGTGCCCTGACCAGGAATCGAACTGGCAACCTCCTGATGCATGGGATGGTGCTCAGCCAACTGAGCCTCACTGGCTGGGCCAGGGCTTGTGTTTTTATCTGTAAAATAGAGATAACAGAACCTGCCTCGAGGGCTCGTTGAGAAGATTAGTGAGTTAATACAAGTCGAGTGCTTTGCGGACTCGCAAATAAATAATAACTGTGGGTGGCTTGGCTAAGGAGCAAGGGAGAGAATGATTGGAGAAGTGGGGAGGGGCCAGATCACAGAGGCCCCGGTGTGCACCGCGAGTGTGGATTTTATTCTAGGAGCAGTGTGGAGCCACTGGAAGGACTTAAGCAGCGGGTTCTGATAAAGAAGGAAGCACAGAGGTGTGGGAATCCACGAGAGGCCTCTCACACAGACTGGGGTTTGTGTGTATATGTGTACACGTGTGCTCGCATGTCCATGATTATAGCTGGTGGCTGAGGTTGGACCTGCAGCCAGAGCCCTTGTTACCACCCCTGTTCTCTGCAGGCTGTGGGTGAGTGTGGAGGATGCTCAGTTGCACACTGTCACCATCTGGCTCACAGTGCGCCCTGACATGACGGTAGCTTCCCTCAAGGACATGGTGAGTGAGGAGACTGAGGGGAGACATCAGGGTGGAGGCTCCCCATTTTGCTCTGACTCTAGCCTGGTCCCCTTTCCCACTCCCCCTCTCTCCATTTCCCCCTCCAGGTGTTCCTGGACTATGGCTTCCCGCCAGCCCTGCAGCAGTGGGTGATTGGGCAGCGGTTGGCCCGGGACCAGGAGACCCTGCACTCCCATGGGGTGCGGCGGAATGGCGACAGTGCCTACCTCTACCTGCTGTCAGCCCGCAACACCTCGCTCAACCCTCAGGAGCTGCAGCGGCAGCGCCAGCTGCGGATGCTCGAAGGTGAGGCTCTGCTCCCGAGTGACGGGGCCTCATCTGCAGTCGTGGGGCTCTTGGGAGCAGAGCCCATGGACTCTTGGTCAGGTCACCTGGAGGATCTTTCCCATAGTGGGGAAGAGAAGACAAAGGACACCCCAGGAGGGAGTCATTTCAGGATCCATTTTGGGAACAGCGGCCTAGGGGAGGGGCTGGGTTCAGTCCTGGCTCTGGCATTTATCAGCTGTGTGGGCTTGGGTAAGGCCCTTCCTGTCTGTGCTTGTTAGTTTTCTAAATCTGTAAATCAGCTAAGATGATCATTGCTAGTGTTTAAATCTTAAAATATTTTTAAATATTTCAGACCCACAGAAAAGTTACAGAATTGTACAAAGGATTGTATAGCAAATTCCCATGGACCTTCTGTGTGGATTCCCCAGATATTAACATTTTACCATATTTGCTCTGCTGTATCATTCTGTCTATAAAATCATTTATAAAATTATTTGTATGCGTATAAATGATTTTTTCTGAGCTGTTTTGAGTAAGTTGCAGACATGATGGCCCTTTCCCTAAATACTTACCTGTGTATTTCCTTGAAAAAAAAAAAAAAGATTAATTTTTCCACATACAGCTATCAAGTTTAGGAAATTAACATTGATACAGCACTTTTATGTACTAATATCCTTTATAACAAAAGCCCTGGCTTTCGGCCACCCTCTCTGTCTCCTTCAGTCTTTGGTCTGCTCAAGTCTTCCCTTGACTCTCCTGATACTGATGTTTTAAGAGTCCAGGTCTGTTTTTGCTTTTTGTCCAGTGTTTCCTTATGAATGGATCAGAGTCAGTATTTTCACAGGACCAGCTCAGGAGCGTTGTTTGTCCCTCTAGCTGCATCACTGCAGGAGCACAGGAGGTCTGTTGTTAGGCAGGATTTTTAAGGTCCCATAGGAGCCCTCATGGGTAGAGCAGGGACTCTGACCCTGTGTGGGCACCAGGACACTCAGCCAGGTCTTGGTCCACTCGGTCCAGCTGGAGACTCTTCCAGGGAGGAGGAAGAGGGTAGGACGGGGCTCAGTGCGGGGTTCCTGGCTGGCTGAGTGGTGTGGATGAAGTGAGTCACACAGATCCACCAGCCTCTTAATCCTCCTTCCCAGATCTGGGCTTCAAGGACCTCACGCTGCAGCCCAGGGGCCCACTGGAGCTGGCACCTCCGAAGCCTGGGCCCCCCCAGGAGCCAGGGCAGGGGCAACCTGACACACCCGCTCCTGAGCCCCCACCGGTAAGCTGCCCCCCCACTTTGCGTCCCTGACTCATCCTGCCCTGGCCCTTCAAAGCTCTGAGCTCATAGCCCTTCTGTCCCAGGTGGGCTGGCAGTGCCCTGGCTGTACCTTCATCAACAAGCCCACACGGCCCGGCTGCGAGATGTGCTGCCAGGCGCGGCCTGAGACCTACCAGGTCCCCGCCACGTACCAGCCAGATGCAGAGGAGCGAGCACGCCTGGCAAGTGAAGAGGAGGCGCTGCGCCAGTACCAGCAGGTGGGCAGGGGTGTCCCCAGACAGACACCTGCAGACTGTACTGGGAGGCCAGGAAGGGGGGCTCCTCCACACCTCCGCTCCTGCCCAGTTGCTGCCTTGCCTCCTCAGGATCATACCTTGGGCAGTGACCCTGTACTTGACTGTGACCCTTCCTCTCTTGGAGGTTATCCTGTGGCTGAGACCCTGCTCCTTGGCTGTGACGCCCATCTTGGCTCACATGCTCTGCTTCCTTGTGGGTTGTGGCTCCTCTCCTAGCTTTGACATACACACCAATTGTGCATACAAGTGTGCCTGGTTGGGACCCCAACACCCTCGCTGAGAACCTGACCACGCCCCACCTGCCACCCCCTCATCCACCTGTGACCTCACCTTGGGCCTACTATTCCTTTCCACCCGGCCTCTCTGGCTGTAGCCCACCCTGACTTTCTGTGACCCCAGGACCCAACCCCTCACTGCTCCCTGGGAGGTTGACCCCACCCTCAGGCCTGCCCCTCTCAATCGTGACCCAGGCTTTGATTACACAGATACCTGACCCTGAGGGTTCCCCCATTCTGATCTGATGCCCCATCCTCCACCTGAGTTCCCTCGGACCTGGTGCTGCCCTTAACCCACCCCAGCCATCACCTCATGCCTGGTCTCATCTACAACCTTGCCCCGATCCACCGTCTTTCCTGCCTTGTTCTGCTCCCTAACATCACTTCCCCTTCCCATACCTCTGACCTACTCTGTGACCTTGATCTGGCTCCACCTCCACATCCATCCCCTGGCCCTGCCTGCCCAGCTTGGCAGAAATGTGAGCCCTGTTACCTCTGACTCCTCAGACCCTGGACCCCTTCCTTTCCTTATCTCCATCACTCCCTTGCCTGGCTTGACCTCTGATTGCAGCCCCAACTTGCCCCTCACTACCCCATCTGGCTCTGCTGCCGGCTTCACCCTTCCCAGGAGTTTTCACTCATGCCCACTACCCAGCCACCCCCACCCCTACCTGGGAATCCTGATACTCCCAGCCTTGTCCCCTTTCGGGGATCTGAGCAGGACCCCTGGTCCTGCCTCCTTCCTGGTCTGACCCGCCCTGAGACCCTGACCTACCCCGTGCCCTGCTCCGTGTGCCCAGAGGAAGCAGCAGCAGCAGGAGGGGAACTACCTGGAGCATATCCAGCTGGATCAGAGGAGCCTGGTGCTGAACACCGAGCCCGCTGAGTGCCCCGTGTGCTACTCGGTGCTGGCGCCCGGCGAGGCCGTGGTGCTGCGTGAGTGTCTGCATACCTTCTGCAGGTGCGGGCCCCACCCCCAGCAAAGCAGCATTGATCCTGGCCACCAACTGACCAAGGCAGAAAGGGGGTGGGTCCTGTGCCCTCACATCTCATTAGACACAAAAACCTGTCAGGTAGGCGCTGTCTCCCCATTTTTCAGGGGAGGAATGTGAGGTACAGAGAGGCCAGCAACTTGCTTAAGGCCACACAGCTCAGACATTCTGGCTCCAGAGCTTGTGCCCCTCACTACTCCTGACCCAGGCCCATGCAGGGACATTGAGGCCCTAGCCCTGGCCACATGAGCCAACCTCGCCCTTCACCTGCTGGTGGGCAGTCTGCCCCAATCCAAGGCTCCTCTCCTGGCCCATCCATCCTGGGCTTTGGAGAACACATCCTGACATTTGGTGAGCAGTCCCTGGGTGCCAGGCACTGTGCCAGGCCTGGGGATCCAGGAGGGATCAAAAAGTTCAGTTACTGCCTTCTGGAGTTGACATTCCAGTGGGGATGCCTATTATTCATCAAATCATCACTGATATGATTGTGAATTTTGACAAATGCCAAGTACCCATGGATTATGATAAAGAACAGGCCCTGCTCCAGCAGGGGGTCAGGGGAGCCCTGGGGGTAACACTGCGTGGGTGTGTGCCTGGCCTGTCTATAGGCACAAGGGGTCAGTGTGGCTGGAGCAGAGGGGTGGACAGAGAGGTGTTAGGGAGGGTGGGTGATGGGGGCACTTATGAGCACAGGGGTTTGGATTTGTTCTGAGCCTGAGTGGGATGGAATGGGAGCCACTGGGGAGGGATGTGGTGGACAAAGGGAGCCCAGGAGGAGGCTACCACACACAGTCTTCTAGACAAGTGGTGATAGAGACCTGGACTGGAGCAGTGGGTTGGGCAGGAGTTGAGGCCATGGTGACAGGTTGGTGGGAAGGAAGGGAGGTATTGAGGAGAAGCTCACCTGGGGTCAGGCTCACCGTGTGAGGGTGAAGTCCCAGCGAGTGGGGTTCAGATGACCCTCACCTCCACTCCATCTCTCCCCCAGGGAGTGTCTGCAAGGCACCATCCGCAACAGCCAGGAGGCAGAGGTCGCCTGCCCCTTCATTGACAACACCTACTCATGCTCGGGCAAGCTGCTGGAGAGGGAGATCCGGGCGGTAAGGCCTGGGGGTGGGGAGGAGCACACCTAGTCCAGGAAGCTGGGCCCTGAGCTGGCAGGTGGGAGCTGGCTTGGGGTGCCCATCTTAGGCAGCATTTATCAAGAGCCTTCTCTGTGTGGGATGCTGGGGGCCCAAGCAGTAAACAGGACAGGAATTGGGGGAGGTAGCTAGTCAAGAAACTACCCTTAAATGAAGGAAAGACAGCCAAGCAGTTAGGAGCGGGCCTGGGTGACCTCCAGGCAGATACTCAGACCTCTCTGTGCTCAGTCTTCTCATTTCAGTGAAGGTCAAAGTTAGCTTCCATTTCAAGGGTTATGAAGATTATAATAGAGGATATGTGTAAAGAATTTAGAGTAGTGCTTAACTCGTGGTAACCCCTGTCAGTTAACTTTTGCTCGTAACAGGTCATTCAGACTTAGTTGCTTAAAACAACCATTTATTTAGCTCATGAATCTGTAAGTTGGTCATTTCCATTGGGCTTATCTGGACGATTCGTCTGGTCCATGCTGGGTCTGGCTGATCTCATGTGGGCTTAGCTGGTGTGTCAGCTGGCCTGGACTGGCTGATGATGGTCTTCTCTGGGATGGCTGGGATGACTGGGCCTCTTTCCATTTTGGTCTCCCATCTACCAGCAGGCTGGCCAGGCTGCTCACATGGTAGGGCTCTCAGAGTTCCAAGAGCAGCCGGAGGGGAGCCCCAGTGCAGGAGAGGTTTCCTAGTCTGCTCCCTTCACACTTGCTGCTGTTCCACCGGCTAAAGCAAGTCACATGCTCAAGCCCAGATTCTGTGCAGGAGGGGACCACCCACAAGTGTGGAGTCAGGGAAACAAATCGGCACCATTCCTCCAGCAGTTCTCACAGTGCTACCTGTGTGTGTGTTTGCTATTGTTATTAATGGTATTATTACCAAGTTCTCTCCCTGACTGCTGATGATCCTGAGCGGTCCTCTCCCTTCTCCATTTCCCCATCTTACAATGGACTGTTGGGCCTGATTTATGGTTTTTAAGCTGCTGGGGAATGGCCTTCTTAGAACTGGGCACCTTCAGATACCCAGCAGAAATGTGAGGCATGGCCCAAGGTGGCTGAGGTCCAAATGGGAGAACACACAGGCCCATACATAAGACTCCTGCTTCTCCCCATCACTCCTGCCTCTCTCCTATGACCATGCTTCTGAGAACGCCCCTGACTTCACCAAGCGTTTCCTTGAGCCCAAGGAGTTCTGCCTTAAGGGTAAAAGGGCAGAAGAGGGGTAGGACTTGGGAACTCCCACCCTTTACCCCAAGAGCAGCCCCATTTTTTATCTCATCTGTGGGTTATCTGAGAAGGGCAGTTCCAGAAGGTTGCCGAGGCCTCCTCTCTGTGGCCTGGAGAGTCAGTCCACATGACCTGTACCCATAGTCGTTCCCCGGAGGTGCGCCCTGTGCAGTCCACCGATGCCAAGGGGCTACAGGGCCCATGCTTGCCTTGAGCCCCTGAGACTTGATGTAAGCCTCAGAATGACTTAAGAATGGTCAAGTGTGGTAGCAAGTAAAAGGAGCAGGGATCAGCAGAGTAATGCAGTGCAGGTGGTTTTTACAAAAACATGTCTAAACCACACAGAACCAGAACAGAAATGAAAGAGAAAAATTACCCACAACCCCACCACCCCAGATGATCCCTGGTTGCATTTTTCTCCATTAACTTGGGTGTCTTTGAGCAGACATGATATTTTTTCTTTTAAAATCAACTTTATTAAGGTATACTTTGCACACAATAAAATACACCCGTTGTAAGTGTGCAGTTGGGTGAATTTTGACAAATGTATCTTGTAACCACCAGCCCAATCAAAATACAGAACATAGGCATGGTTCTTATTCCACTGTAACCAGTGTAGATACAACAGCCTTTGCTATTTTGCTACAAAACCTTTCTAAAGGTTGTTATCTCAGCGGCATACGTCCTGTTTATACCACTTTTCTTAATAATTCCAGTGTCTCAGTTTGTAAATAATGCTTCAGGGAACATTTTGCATGGTTTCTCTTCTTAATATTATTTTCTTAGGACAAACTTGTAGAAGTGGAGTGAGTCTCAAACGATCAGGAGAGTTTGGGATGGTGAAACATTATTGCCACGTTGCTTTCTCAGAGTGAAATGTACCAGGATACTAGTTTAACTGCATAGTGTTGCTAGTTATTATTTTTGTCTACATTTTTCTTTTATTGTGGTAAAATATATGTAAAATTTACCATTTTTAACCATTTTTAAATGTACAGTCTATGGCGTTAAGTATATTCACATTGTTGTGCAGCCATCACCATCCATCTCCAGAAGTTTTAATCCACTTTTAACTTATTTAAAAATTTTTTTTTAGAGAGAGGAAGGGAGGGGGGAGAGAGAGAGAGAGAGAGAGAGAGAAACATCGATCTGTTGCCTCCCGCATGAGGCCTGACCAGGGATCAAACCCACAACCTGGGTATGTGCCCTGACCAAGAATCGAACCAGCCACCTTTGTGCACAGGAGGATGCTTTAACCACAGAGCAACCCAGCCAGGGCTTAATCCACTTTTTGAATGGAGTTTTTAAATACTGATATGAAGAAAAGAGCCTGGGTCTGGGTTGGACTTTATGGATTGGGAACTTCCAGGAGCATATTTGGTGGCAAGGAAGCCACATATCAGGTGTTCTGAACCCCAGAGACCAAGGCTACATGGTCTGTTGGCAGCTGCTGACCCCTGAGGATTACCAGCGGTTTCTGGACCTGGGTGTCTCCATCGCTGAGAACCGCAGTGCCTTTAGCTACCACTGCAAGACCCCGGACTGCAAGGGCTGGTGCTTCTTTGAGGATGATGTCAATGAGTTCACCTGCCCCGTGTGTTTCCACGTCAACTGCCTGCTCTGCAAGGTGGGGATGGGGACCCATGCTGTCCTACCAGGAGCTCACTGCAGCTCAGTGCTTGTTCTGCGAAGGGCCTGGTCATCATGACTTAGAGCTGCATGTTGCTGACGGGGCCTGGCCTGGGCCCTGAACTGAGCCTAAGCCTTGGACGAAGCCCCAACCCTGGACTGAACCTTGACCCCACACTGAGCCCCAACCCCTGCCCTATACTGCGTCTTGACCCCAAACCCGGGCCCTTCCCTGCTGCCATCATCTCAACAGTTGATCATTAAAGAGACTGGTGAAGAGTAGATGGGTCTGAGCCTAGTTGCCCCAAGGCAGGCTTCATCTCAGATTGCTGGGCCTGCAGGGCTGAACCTGGCTAGGCATGAGGGGCCACAGCCTGGGGGAGAGGTGTTCAGGGGTTTCTGTGCCCATCTGGACTTAAATAAATAGGGATATGTTGTTATCACACATGCGACCCTGGCTTCACCTCCCTGGCCTCAGTGTCTTCTGTAAAATGTGTGAATGGCTTACAAAGCGAGGCCTGGTCAGTGACAGCACCTAGAGCATTACGTGTTGAGTGGATGCCTGCTCTGCCCCAGATTCCTCACTGGGGAACCTCACCTCGAGCCCCTCACTCGCTGCAGGCCATCCACGAGAAGATGAACTGTAAGGAGTACCAGGATGACCTGGCCCTGCGGGCTCAGAATGATGTGGCCGCCCGACAGACGACAGAGATGCTGAGGGTGAGGCTGGGGCAGGGCGGAGGGCCTGGGGATTTGAGTTCTGGGAGTCTGTAGGGGGTGGGAGCTTCTCAGAAAGGCTGTGGTTCATAGGGCCCTGGAGGCTCTGACCTCTCTGCTGGCGTCACTCCCATGTAGAGCTGAGACTTGGGGCAAGTGCTCAGGGTACCAGCAGCAGGAAGTGTCTGGGTGGAGGGAGAAGACCTAAGAAACAAGGAGCTCGATTCCACAACTGGAGGGCAACTCACAACTCCAGCAGGCGCCAGTTTTCCTCTATAGTTGGGAGGGGGCGAGGTGGGGCAGGTGCCCTGCTTGGCCCCAACGTCAGCCCCTGCTCTGCCCCAGTCCATGCTGCAGCAGGGCGAGGCCATGCACTGCCCGCAGTGCCAGATCGTGGTGCAGAAGAAGGACGGCTGTGACTGGATCCGCTGCACTGTTTGCCACACGGAGATCTGCTGGGTCACCAAGGGCCCACGCTGGGGCCCGGGGGTGAGTCTTTAGGGAGCAGAGACTCAGGAGAGGTGTGGGGAGGGGGCCCTCATTGGCCTTGTGCAGGAGTGGGGATTGGAAAACTACAGCCCACGGGCCTAATCCAACCCCCCACCTGTATTTGTACAGCTTATGAAGTAAGAACATTTTTACATTTTTTAAAATGGTTAAAAAATATCAAAAGAATATTTTGTGACATGTAAACATTATATGAAATCCAAATTTTAGTGTCCATAAGTGAAGTTTTAGGGGAGCACAGCCATGCTCATTCATTTATATACGGTCTGTGGCTGCTTTTGTGCTACGGAGGCAGAGACCGTGTGGCCTGCAAAGCCGAGGGTAACTGTGGCTCTTCACAGAGAAAGGTTGCAACCCTTGCCCTGGAGGACGGCGGTGAAGGGTTCAGTCTGCAGTCAGAGGTGGCGTGGGCCCTTGGCTCCTGCACACGCGCTGTGTGGTTTAGGCTGTTGCTCCCTTCTCTGAGCCTCAGTTTCTTCATCTCAGGCTTATTGTCAGAATCAAATGAAAAAGTGTAAAAAGTGCTTAGCAGGGTGCCTATCATATTGCAAGCACTTCATATGTGGTAGGTGTCATATTAGGGGTGTTCCTGGGACTGGGGGATCACTTTTGTTACATACAGGCTTTGAGACAGATGGAGGCAGAGGAGGCAGCCCTTTCTCATGCTGCCAATGCGCTGACCCTCCCAGGATACGCAAAGACCCATCACCTCCTTCCTTGCCTGGGTCTTGGGATAGGCAGATTGAGGCCATGTAATTTGGGTGCCCAGAAACTCCTCCATCAGGTCACTGCGGCTGAGGGCCAGCTTAGAAGCAGGGGACCGGCCCAAGCAAAGGCCTGGAGTGGAGTGTACACTGATTTTTGGTGTGAGGGAATATTGGGGGGCACTGTTGTCCCTGCCCTGACCTTCTCTTCCCCCATCTTCTAGGGCCCTGGAGATACTAGCGGGGGCTGCCGCTGTCGGGTAAATGGGATTCCCTGCCACCCCAGCTGTCAGAACTGCCACTGAGCTGAAGATGGCCCCGCCCCCATGCTGACCCAGCCCCTCATCCACAAGTTGCTGTGGGACAGGGCAGGTGCTCTGGCTCGGATTTCTGGCCTGGGAGGTCCCTTCGCGCTTGGCCAAGGCCTCTGAGCTGCATGAACAGCCTAGTTTGCTGTGGGTGTGGCAAGGGCCCCGCCTGAGCTGGCAGTTGTCCATAGCTCCCTCTGCCCTAGTGCCTTTGCCCTTCCCCTGGGGCTTGCTGGCCAGACCTTTCAGTTCCTTTGCCACTCCCACCTTTGCCTGAGCCAGCCTTAAACACAGCCCTGGGCAGAAGCCTTGCTGGACAGAGCCTCTTGAGTCCTGTGTGAGTCCACCCCTGCCACCCCCCATCCACCACCCTTGTCTCCTGAACATGGAGCATTCACAGCCTCTCACTTCCCCTGTCGGCTTTCTGGGGCAGACTTTTCTGTGGCTTTGCTGATGGAGCCTGAGCCTCTTAGAACTGCTGCTAATCCTGTTCAGAGCCAAGAGGGAGAACTGGCAGTTTCTAAAGCACAGCCCATCTGGTCCAGCTTCCATGTCTCCCTCTTTGCCACTGGCGTAAGCTAATTAAAATGGTTTTCCAGGAAGGGATGAGTGTGATATCTGAGGGGGAGTGAGAGGGACATGGGTTGGGACTCTGCAGAAACTACAGCAGGAAGTGTATATATGAGGCGCTTGGCACCCCTGTGCCCAGCTTGAGGGGGCAGGATGCTCTTGGGTCATTTGCCTTGGCAGGCGGAGTTTGCAGTGTGTTTAGAGTCCACAAAGCAGGGTCTACAAATCCTTCGGGCTTGAGGGGCAGGGAGGGGCCCAGGCAGTGGGTGCAGGCTGGCAGGAAAGACCTGCTGCTCCCTCTGCCGCTCAGTGGGTGTCCAAACATTTCAGGATCAGGTGAACCTACTGCCATTGAGGGGAGAGACTGTCCATCTTAATTTTAGCATCTCAGGCAAGACGTCGCAGTATTGGGCCAGCAATATTTATCAGTCCCCTTTTTGTGCAGGTCAGGGAGGGATTAATAAAACACAGTTCTGGGTGTCCATTCTGTAAGGTTTACTGCCTTCTCAGAACCCACCCACTTCCCTGGTGAGATCTGGTATTCGGTCTCAACATGACTGAGCCATGCCGCGGATCGTCATTACAGCAGGCAGAGCGTGTCCTTGCTGTTTGAGGCCTGGACTGCAGGCTCCAGAAGTTGGGGCATGTGGTTTTGGAGGAATGGGCTTATTCTAAACCCTGGAACGCTCTGCCACCCTGTCCTTGGATGCCAAGACAAAAAGAGTTGACCACAGGCGCTGTGAGCAGAGCTGTCAGAGAACACGAGTGCCTTCCTGCTCTGCCAGTGCAGGCTCACAGCAGCTGTCGTAGCTGAAGGGCATGCTCGGGCTGCCTCCCACTCTGGGAGCAACAGTCAGGCAGAGCCACTGACTTGGACACAGAAGCAGTTGAGACCCTGACTGCAGGAGTGAGATGGGGCCCATATCAGGACAGAGCGCTTTCTCTTAACAACTGCTCCCTTCTCTGCCAGGGCCCATCTTGGCATCCCTCAGGGGCCTGGGCACAAGAGAAAAGCTGAGAACCTTCTCTTGGTTCAGAGGATGCAAACTGGTAACGCCGAGGTCTTTTCAATGTCCTTGTGCTATTCTTTTCCTCGTAAATATTAAAAGGTATTAGGGAAGTATTTCTTTACCTATGGCCGTATCAAAATGGGGATAAGACAGGCAGAATGGGCTTCATTGGCTGCATCTTTCACTCGGCCCACTCCATCCACACCACCAGGCACAGGGAGTTTGTCTGCTGCAGGCAAAAGGGAGGGGGCAGGGCAGCCCCAGGGTTATAGCCTCCAGTGCCATACTCAACTTACCAGCGGGTGAGGGATCAAAGATAGGGTCACCAGTGCTCTCTATTGCAGGGACAAGGGGAGGTGCCGCCCTCTCCCAAGGGGTCACCCCAGGCTGGGGGCCCAGATCTTGAGAACCCACACCACTGGCCAGAGCAGACTTGAAACCAAACCGCATGAGCTTTGGACTCAAACCACCTACCTGAGGAAGCAGCAGGAGGTCCCAAATATACTTGTGTGACAAATCTTTGTCTCTCAGAACAGGAAAAGGCGAGGGGAAGCCCAATGCTTAGATAAAGAGCAGCTGCTGCTGGTGTGGGCAGGAAGTGAAGGATGAGCCCCACGGCCAAAGCCAGAGCTAGCACGTGTCTTCCTCTAGTGTCAGGCTGGCACGAAAGCCACTCACTCAAAAGCAGGAAGCTGGAGGCAAGCCCACAACCTTGCTGGCTCACAAAGGCTTCTGGGCAAATTCCAACCATATGTAAGTTTGGAAAAAATACTGCTAGCAAGTAGAGGGCCTTTGTGAAGACAGGAAAAAAGGCAGCAGGAGCCACAGTAGAAAACATGAAGGGGACAGCAGGGCAGGGAAAGCAGATAAAGTCAGGCTGAGCCTCAGGCCCCATCATCTCTTGGCTGGATTTGGCAGAAGCCTGTGGCCTATTCCCTTCTGTCACCACTTAATCCCTGAACGCGCATGGGGCCCCAGTGCGGGCTGGCTAAAGGTATTTATTGATGAATAAATGGTCACCAAAATGGACTCAAAACGCTTGCATGACCATAGTTTGTACAGCATTTCCCCAAACATCATTTCATTAAACTGTCCATGTGAGATGGGACTATCCCTGTCTTAATGTTACTGACAATGAGTCTGAGACATTGAACTTGCAGCAGCTCAAATTGCCAGGAAGTAACACACTTGCCACGATGCCACCAATAATCCTCTTGACCCAGTTCTTGTCATAGCCCATCCTCACCCCCAAATAGCCTAGAGTACCACTGTCCTCCACAGTGCTCAGAGCTGCCCCTGACCTGAACCCTAAGTACCTTCCACTGACATTGCCCTCTCCATCTCCACAGACCCCAAACTCCGGGCCTCCTGGGCTTTGCTGTCTACAAAACACCCACACTTCTAATTCAGCTATTATTTTTACACTACTTTTCCTTCAGCCTTGCATATTGTGTGGTATTTCCTGACACCACTTCTCCAATTCTCCAGCACCAACTGGGTGTCCAACAATTAAATTCTGACACTACCTGGAGTTAACAGATCCCACAAGTTAAAGGGCTCAGTCCCGCAGGACTGCCCCATTTCAGATGCCAGCTGCAGACAGGGTTCCCCTGCTACCCACACTTCTACCTAGCCAACTTCAAATTCAGGGTTTTCTACAACTGCCCCTCAGGTTCAATAATTTGCTAGTAGGGCTCACAGGACTCAGGAACACTGATGTGTACCAATTTTTAATAAAGGACACAACTCAGAAATGGCTCAATGGAGGCAATGAATAGAGCAGGGTGTGGGGAGAGGGTGCAGACCTCCCAAGGGCACCGAGTCCACCCTCCCAGCATGTTGATGCTCACCCCAGAAGCGCTCAGAATCGGGATTGAGTTCATAAGAGTTCAAGCTCCAGCCCTCCCTCTCCTCCCAAGGTCAGGCGAGGGGCCAAAAGTTCCCACTCTAATCACCTGGCCTTTCTGGGGACCTGCCCCATTTTGAGGCCACCTCATTAGCATAAACTCAGGTGGGATAGAAAGGGAATCATTATGAAGAACAAAAGATACTCCTATCAGGAAATCCCAAGAATTTTAGGTTAACTGGAGAGAAAAAACACATACAAATATTTCTCATGCCACATACACCTTCAATGTTCCAATTTTCAAAATTCTACTTTTTACACTCATCAATTCCTATAAAACTGCCAGTGAATCTGCCACTCAAAATGAATTGTCCCTTCAACGCAGCTCTGGTGTGAGCTCCCAGAGGCAGGGCAGTATCCTGGCCAGCCCTGTGTTCTCCGAGTCAGATGCTGGCCTATGGTGGTGGGACAAGGTCAGGGGGCTGTGATGCCAGCTCAGCCTTGGGCGCTCTCCCCTCTCCCCTCTGGGCCAGGGAAACATTAATAAGCATCCCAGACAACATGGGTTCTTGCCTCCATGACTGGCCTACCCTCAGGATGAAGGCAACAGGTACATGGTACTGTTCTGGGCTCGCAATAACCAACAGCAGGGAGTGTTATGATGATGTTGGAAAAGCCTGGCAAGAAAAAGCTCTCAAAGCTCCTTTGGGACAGAAATTATATGTGGAGGCAAAGTTACGTTCACATCAGGCTTTGGTTACGTTCTAAACCCCAATGTCAGCCTTTGGAAACAGGCATCCCCGGAATAGTGTGAAAAATAGTTAAGATCACCCCAAACGAATCTCCCACACCACTTGTGCTGCTTAACTGGCCAGGGCCACCTGGCAGCAGCTGGAGTGTGTGCCGTACTTATTGCAGGTGAAACAGAAATAGGACTGCAGGTATTATCCCAGCTCTCCAGGCCAGTCAAGGCTGAGCAGCAGTCCACAGACCACAGCACAGTCCCAGGCCAGGGTGGAAGGCAGGGAGCACCAAGGCCATTTGTCTAAGACCAGAGTCCACTCCTAACAAGTGGTGGACAGGACAGAATGACAGAAGAGGAGATTAGTAACCACATATGGCTGTGTATTTCATACAGGGCTCTGTACAAAATATTTACACATATTCTTTACAGAATAGTAAACCACCTGAAGATGAAAATAGTTTCTTCTCACTGACAAGGCGAATCCTGATGTCAGCAAAGCTATCAAACAAGTGAACTTGCTCCTTCTTAGGCCACAACAGAAGCAAATGCCACTTGCTTCCTGGGTTCCAAAAAGCTGTGGCCTTGGGACCCTGGTCATGTGCACCTCCTTTCCTCTCCCCATCAATTCCTTCAGTATTTACAGACAGGCTCCAGTGCTCGTGGCGGGAGATGCCGCTGCTGCTGTCCATTCGTAGCAAGGGGACAGACTTGCTGAGGGAGAAGACTGGGAATACCTGTCATGCCAGCACCTCTGATCCTGAAACAATTTCCTTTGTCTTGATGTATCTTCCACTCCCTGGGTTAGTCTGTCCACATCACACCCCAGGAGGGACTCCTGCTCTAGAGAATGACCCATCACTGAGCTTTTTTTATCTTTAAAGTGCTGAGTGTAACTTAGTGTAGATGCCTCTCCTAACCTCTCTGGGCTGGCCAGCCGTCTGGCATGCTACCTGCCCTCCACTCTGCACACACTGAGCACACGGGAAGGGTGTGGAGGTCTGGGTATAGCAGGTAGATGCTTCAGGCATGTTCACATTAAAACACTTGTTAAGACAGAACAGTGCTAGAGAGAGACCAGGAAAATGAAAGTACATGGCTGCTTCAAACTACACACCCCAATCCTTTAAAGAAGCAAAAGGCACTTTTTTCAAGCCAGAGTTCATCTAAAACATATCTGGCACTCAGAGGAAACGCTGTCCCAGAAGGACTGAAAGATCCAGCTTGTTCCCTAAGGCCGGGAGAGTCCACAGGCAGCCGAGGGCAGGAGCGGCTGTCTCAGGACTACCACTCTGACTGCTCTGAACATTTCCACGGACACTTCCAACCAGGAAGGAGAGACCAGCAGTTAAGGAGATAAATCGAACCCAAAAAACAAAGCCAAGGAAGTGAGTGGGTGCCCATCTGGGATCAGACAGGTGATCTGAGGAAAACAGGAAAGGCAGACCCGAAGAGGGCACCCTGGGAGTGTGGGGTGTTTACAAACTGCAACTCTGGCTAATGTGAAATGCCAAACTGAGACAAAGGACACTTCAGGGTCTTTGAAGCTCATCCTTCTGATGAGAACTATATTCTTCTATGAAGGAACTACTGTTTTAAAGTGAGGGTGCTTTACATGTTGGGTGTTATATAATTCTAAAAATGGTAATAAAAGTGTCTTTTTAAAGCAACTTTGTGTGGCTTGTGGGAGAGAATAGGTAGGGGGAAAAAAGCAGGCAAGCCTGGCCGGGTGGCTCAGCTGGTTGGAGCATTGCCCGTGCACCAAAGGGGCTGCGGGTTCAATCCCCAGTCAGGGCAAGTGAGGGGCAACCTATCGATGTTCCTCTCTCCCCCTAGAGTCAATGAACATACCCTCAGGTGAGGATTAAAAAAGGGGGGACAGGTAAAACCAGTCTATGTTTGAGCCCTAAAACTTAACATTCCTTCCTGTTTGACTGGAAATACCTGGGATTTCTAGGTGGAAAATCAGCAGAAGTTACCCAGTAACCTTGTTCCCATCTGTCTCTCTCTGATTTCTGACCAGCTAACAGAGCTGCTCTCAGGAAGGGCCAGTCTTACTCCTGGGCTTGCCTCTCTGCCCCTTTGCCTTCAATCCACCATCGGACTTCTTTGGCCAAAGCAGACAGAACAGGAGGAGCTGTGAGGCGGGCATTCAGTGGTCCAGCTTCCTTACTACTAGGCAACTGAAAAGGTCCCCAGTGACCAGGCCCAGTGGGTTCCAAAGGCAGCTGGGAGCTAAAAAAACCCCACTTCCTCCAACACAAGAGGAGGCAGCGGAGAGCACACTCAGAAGCCCACTGTGAGGGAGGAGAGTTCTATGCCCAGGCCCCCAAGTGCCCAGTGTCAGAAAGGCTCTGCTATTGGCCTCTGAAGCAAAGGCAAACCATGGACAAGCAGGGAGGGTGGTAGGAATAGAAAACCCTTGACAGAAACCCTTTTAATAAAGGACATCCCACCCCTCCCCATCCTTCCACGGAAGGGCGAGACCTTAAAGTAATGTCAGAGGAAGAATCTTCTCTGGCATTTAGGGGAAAAGCTGCAGCTGAAACTTAGGGGCCCACTCCAGGGCACTTTTCACCACAGCCAGGGCGGCCGCTCCAAGTGCCACCGTCAGCCCCATCACTGCCAGTTTCACAAAGCGATTGGTTCTTGGTTTGGTCAGGACGTCTTTTGCTCGATCCTCAGTCCGCAGAAGTCCCCGAAACCGCTGCCGCAGCACCATGTCAGGCCTCTGCTGGGCTGATGCCAGCTCAAAGTCTTTGAAGGTAGAAGCTGCCGTTCTGCAGAAAAGGAAGAGACAGAAAGAAGGAAATAATACGAAGAAACAGCGAAGGAAAGAAAAACTAGATTAAATAGGCTGAGGGCAGAGCCATCCATTGCTCAGAAAACTCTGCTTGATAAAGACCCATCAAGACTAAAGTAGGGATTCTGCTGGCATAAGCTTAGATTTCTGGAAACATCCCCCAGCCCTGTCCTGACCAGACATCATCTTTCATTACTTCTGCTCACTAACAAACA